GTGGTATTTTTCTCGTCATTTTGAGATTTAGGTAGAGTTGAGCCCTTATTTCGATTTTTGAACACTAAACAACTATTCCTTGTTTTAATATTTAATAAAAAATATTTGTTTTAATTTTTTTTACCCTTTATCGGTTCGGTATCGGTTTTACCGAACGCTTATGGGTTCAACCTGATACCGTACTGATAGTAATTCAGTAACCGATAGTCTGTTACTGTTACAAGCGATTCGGTACGGTTTAGTTTATTTTCTCGTCGGTTCGGTTTTCGATTAAAATATGCCAGCCCTAGTAGTATCTACTCAAATAAATAAATAAATAAAATAATTAAATAAATAAATAAATAAAAATTAAAAAAAATGTTATTTTTTTACATAATCTTATTTAAAAAAAAAAATATTTGTACATAAAATAAAGGTGGTTTGTTGGAAGGCAAGCAAGTTGGTTTGATTGATAAGAATCTTGTGACAGCAGCAAAAGATAACATATTTTATTGTAAGTGAGCGGTCAAAGGCGGCCTTTCCCACATGAGAATTGAGAGCATCTCATTCTATCTTCATTCTTTTCCTTTCGGCTATCGAGCCGTTGAACCGGGGGACGTGGACGCATTCATGCACCCCACGTGGCACGCCACTCCATTTCTACTAGTTGGCTGCCGCCCATCCACAGGATAAAAACTCTTACCACTATAATTATTATTTTCAATTTTATTATTTCATTTATTTTGAAAAATTAGGAGGTGGGGAAGTTGGAGAAGTGTGGGTAACATGCAATTGTGGCACAAGTTGTATGAATTTTTTGGGTTGTTAAGTTTCTTTTCAAAAGTGTGGGCACTATCTCCATGGATTTTGAATGATTGTATCAATAAAAATGCACACCAAGTATGGGTGAGTAAGCCTGTAAATGAGTCGAGCCGACTTGTTAAATAAACGAGTCAGAAATCGTGTTCGAGCTCCACTCATTAAGACTTTGAACTCGAGCTTTAACGAGTCGATCTCAAGCTTTAACTAGTCGAACTATAGAAAATTATATAAAAATTCTCTTCTCAAGCCTTATCGAGCTGAGCTGAGCCGAGCTCGGTTCGTTAACCAAATGAGCTTTAAATGAGCTCGATTTCGGCTCGTTAAGGTCTCGAGCTCAAGCCAAACTCGAGTCTTAACAAGAAGAGCTGATCAGTCAGACTCGTTTAATTTAACAACAGTACATGTTACCTTGTGAATGATTGCATCAATAATCACTCATCGTAGGAGCATGTGTGAGTATATGTTACCTGATGAGTAGTCTTAATTGCTAGTTGGATCAACACGTATTGAATATGTGAATGTGTGTGATTAGAGGAATGTTTTCTCACTGGTAGGATCGAATTCAGTGCTTTTAACTACGCTGGGGTCTTCAATTGAGAATACAACAAATTTGATATTTTACGAAAAATTATTAGCCACAATTGGTGAATGATCTTACTAGTTGGATCAACACACATGGTGATATAGCCATACTATTCGTATAACGATTTATACTATCAATGGTTCCGAAATTACCGAGTTTACTTGGCCAAAGTCGACTCTCTCCGCATATTCCTTATGATATCTCTGATTTGGGGGTCCAGGCACCCCTCGGTCGACTCCTGCGTGTCGACTGGTATAAGTCGATTTCCCTGGAAAAACGGATAAGCGTATCAGGGTCTATCGACGATCGAGGATGACCCCGTCGACTCGAGTTGATAAGACCCGGGTCGACTGAGTAAGTCCCGAGGTTCGCAGATCCCCAACAATCTGATAAACTTCAATACACCATAGGAAAACTATTAAGGATAATGAAGGATCTAGATGCTGACTATGAAGTGGACAGAATATGAACCGACCAGGGTGTTTTGGACATTCAAGTAAGTCGGCCAGGGCATTTTGGGGACTTCAGGTAAATGTTTTACTTCTATATAAAGGAGTTGAGGTAACTCCAAAACCCTAACTCTCATTCACTCTACATTCTCCTCCATTGCTGCTGCTCCCTCAGAGCAGCTCTTTTCACCCTTTTCACATACTGACTTGAGCGTCGGAGGCTCTACGCCGGAAATCCCTCCGGTGTTGAGTTCTTGCAGGTGTTCTCGCGGTCCGATAGCAGTTTGGAGACCATCAAGGCAGATCTGAGCTCGTTCCCATCGGTTCATTCCAGATCTGGGCGATTTTCCACCGGTTCACTCCAGATCCGAGAATAGACCCATCACATGGGGTGTGTGAGTATGTGTGATATGATGGACCGAGATGTTTCCATACTAGTACAACCGAATTTACCGTTTTTAATCACAAGAGGTTTTTAATTGTTGGATCATTAATCAGAAGAATGTGCGTGTGTGCATGTAATATGAAGTATATGCCCATAATCAAGCTGACCCATTTGTTCAATTGACATTAAACAGATGAATATTGTATTTCTTTACCTTTCTTCACAAACTATTGTTAACCAATAATTTCATAATTTTATATTTGTGTATAAGTGATATTTGGGCTACAATCAAAGAAAACACAGGAAATGTTTTTTTTTTTTTTTCTATCTAGTGATTTTGATGAGCCCAATTTTTGTGGGCTGATATTTTAACGTCCATGTATATTGTTTTACTGGACCATCCCCTCCTAACCTCCTGCTTTGTTATAGCACGCATAATTTTGGGTAGCCCAGCCCATAAATCAAAAAATACAGCATGGGCCTGGGTATTACTTCCACCAAGAGTTAAGAGAGGTTCAAGATTGACTAAATTTCATTTTTAGTCCACTATGTTGACCATTTTCTAAAAAAGGTCCATCATATAGGGTGTCATCAATAATGGTCCACTAAATTGTCACTTTGAATCAAAACTCGTACAATTGCCAACATAGTGTACTAAAAATGATAATCACTTTTAGTACACTATGTTGGCAATTGTACGAGTTTGATTAAAAGTGACAATTTAGTGGACTATTATTGATAACACCCTATATGATAGACCTTTTTCGAAAAATGGCCAACATAATGAACCATTTTTGAAATTTTGCCGTTCAAGATTTGTAAATAGGCGCTCCAAATTAATAAGAACACATATAGGAAAATATATAGATAAGATGATAAATATGTTAGCATAAAAAAAAAAGCATCAATATGTATTAAGGTTAGTAAACTTGAACTTCTTATCAAAGTTACATATATTTAATACATCACTTGTCCAATATAATTGGGTTAATGATAAATTTATCAAATATCTTTAAATATTGTGCAACAATTCCATCAATGAATTGTGAAAAAATAATAATAGTAAAATCATTAATTACAAGTTTAGATAATTTAAAAACTTACAAACTCATGGATATTTTTTACACATATTAAAATTATATACGTGTTACTAACTAAATAACACACTAATATTAAGTATGACATGCAGTTTTATTTTTTATTTTTAATTTCCCTGTAGCGACTTACCTTTATTTGTCGACGTGTTCTGTTTTCAATAATTTAATTTGCATTAATATTAGCGGAAGTGCAGTTGTTTCCAATAAATAAATTAATCTTCACTATTAATAGTTGTTGATATCCGAGTTAGCCAGGAGTGAATCGGATAGGCGTCGCCTACCAAAACCCTGGCTGAGGACCCGGTCCAACATCAAAGTGCCGATCTGAATTACAGAATTAAGTAACCAGGACCACCCCGGGAACATTTTTTGAGACCGGCACGAGGCTCAGTAAATGCACGAGCCGACCTCGCTGGGATAAAGAGAATTTTGTGAAAAACTTTTCATTGACAAATATTGTGAACTAAGGTCAAGTAGAATGAAAAACTTTTCAACACTACCTTAAAAAGTTGATACATTGACAAATATTGTGGAGATCTCAGGGCATCTCCAATGGTAATAGTTATTACTAGCTATATAGTTAGCTGACGTGGATGTGAGAGATAAAAAAAATGACTATTTGACACTATTGGACCTACATACTCCTCACACATGATCTTGGGCTACGTGAAATAGATAAGCTATTTGTTTGTAGCTAGTGGCTACTCTCTCTCTTACTTTTCCACTGTCCACGTCATAATAGTTAGCCAAATAGCCAACCATTGGAGACGCCCTAATAACATTACTTAATTTTTGTGGGAAAATCAAAATAATGTAGCTTTTGAATACAAAGTCATGATTATTCACATGCTTCCCAAAATATGATTGCAGGCAAAGCTTGTTCTATTCAACCCTAACATTCGATTAATTAAATAACTGAACATTGATTGGCCTCTAGCTAAAAACCATGATTCAAAATCATTTTCGAAAACACAAAGATAAGTAAACAAATTGAAGATAAGACCGTGTTTGACAACAAATATACCACACTGAGTTCAAATCAACGGATCAATAGCCATTGGGTTTGTAGAATTGTTAAACGAAATGAGTTGCAAACAATTTAGCTTGACTCTTTAAGACTTGTTTTTGGATCGTCTCATTTGATAAGCAAGTCGAGTTTGAGTTCATTGAAAGCTTGTTTATTTAATGAGTCGGGTTGGATTCATTAAAGCTTGCTAAGGCTCAAAATAATAATTTTTATATAATTTTCTATACCCAAATTCGTTAAGTGTTGAGCTCGATTCACTAATATTGATAAACAGTTCGACTCGTTTATTGTCCTACTAATTACACACATCCACACACGGGTCGATAGTTGTATTTTGATCCGACGACTCAGATGCAGTAGAGTGATTTTTTCTCATCTACACTCTAGTTTTCTTGATAAAAAGACAAATTACACCTAATAGCCTAATAACTCTGCATTAAACGACACTAATGAGAATCTTATTCCACACTCAAAAAAATCAAAGAATAAAATAGCCAAATACTACCCACCAACTTGCCAAATTTCTCTGCCTTATTCTCATCTGTCAGAAAACAACTCCCAAAACCAGGAAAAATCACAAAAATTAAAAATCCACAGAGGCATTTCCACAAACACCTCATAAACCCAAGAGCAAAACAAAAACCCTCCAAGAAAATCCATGGCGGATTACAGATCAAAATCCTACAGCGGCGGAGATATGCAGATAGAACCCTACTATGGGTCCCGCACCACTGCCTGCCCCAACGATTTCAGGTCGCACAGCGTTTCCTACGGTCCCTCCTACTACTCCGCCGCCGGCCCGCCGCCTCCGCCGCCGCCGAAGAAGCTGAGCAAAGGGAAGAGCACAAACGGGTCGGGTTCGAATTCTTGGAGGCTCAGCGACCCGGAGTTTCAGAGGAAGAGACGTGTTGCGAGCTACAAAGTGTACAGTGTTGAGGGCAAAGTCAAAGGGTCTTTCAGGAAGAGTTTCAGGTGGCTTAAAGATAGGTATACTCAGGTGGTTTATGGATGGTGGTGATTTACTGCAAAAAAAACCCATTTGGGGCTATGATTTTTTCTGGGTTTTTTTAGCAGTACTTATTATGATTTGCTTTGTTATTATTATTTTTTTTTTTTCTTTTTAAGGTATTGTTGGTGTGTTGTGAGATGTCAAAGTTGAGCTTTTGTTTGATTTGTGATAGCAAAATTGTGTGAAACTGATTATTATGATGCCATTTTAATCTTGTTTAGTTGACGAGTCGAGTAAGACTCGAAAATATGGTATTTTTTAAAGTTTGGCTTGTTGATATCGATGAACGAGCAGAGTTTGAGGTCGTTTATCATATTGTTTAATTAAGGAGCTCGACTCGATAATAGTTCGAGCCCGATGCTCGACCCCGACTCAGTTGACTACTTTACATTTCTTTAGTCCTTTCTTTTGTATACACACTGCAAGAATTTATTAAACAAATTGAATGGACAAGTTAAAAGATCATCAAAAGTCTTCGAGCACCTAAAGTCTACTTCAATAATTCATGTATTATTATGTGATGTAAGGCCCAGAAAGCAGTCAGCTCGAGCATTATGCAACAGCCAACATGTGCAAGGCCAAAATTCAT